TCCTCATCTTAGTCATACTCATTATGTAGATATATTGTTTATTGACTACCCAACATTCTATCTTATAAAACATAGATGGTCATATAGTCATTCTATAGAACTTCTTTTCAATTTGATTGGTATGGGCATTCGTATGAGACCCTAGAAGCACATCTTCACTTCGTCCACCTAATTCTAATCCTATGCATGACATCTTCCCTAATCTCTCCATTCCAATCGATTATTAACCCAAGATATCGAAAACAATCATTTTTAGGTACTTCTTGATCATCAATCTTAACTAATTCAAAATGTTTTTTTCACTATTTATAGTTCCTACTGCTTTGCATGCATGGAGTGTAGAGTTTAAGATGATATGATGTACCTAAATTATAGGAATTGAAGGTTTTTTTTTTACTTTTTTGGACAAATTTATCAAAATACACTTCATTTATCAACTATTTAGCATTTTCCCCATTTTAAAGTTTTAAGCTATTGATGATCATGTACATTTTGACAAGCTTCTTAAAATTGATTAGAAATAAATAAAATCTTAAATATTTATTCTCTTAAATAGATTTTTTTTTTTTGGATAATTCAATGGAGAAGACACGCTCCTATCCATTTATTAAATAATTTAGGAGTTAGTTTTTTTGAAAATATTAGCATGATGATATCAATGGAAATGGAAATTACAATAAAGTGACTAGGGTGTGGGGTGCTACCAGGACGGCCCCAGCCCCTTTTACTTCTCCTCGACAGATTTTCATTTCCATTGTACAGTTGAGTTGGGAGTTTAGAATCCTACAAAGGATGCAAAAGTGATGAGATGCCAAGGCATGGCACCTAGAGAGAGATTAGGCCTCTTTTCTTTATGTGTTGCTCTCCTTTTGTTCCCTTTCCATGTTTTAAAAAGCAATATATTCTTTATCCATGTGGTGTGGTCCATTTTCTGTTGTTTTTTGCATTGGTTCCTACCCAAAGGACTGGATGATACTTAACCGAAAAAAAAAAAAAGGACTCGATAGATGGTGCATACAACCCAATGACTATTTGCCTCGCCTAAAATAATGGTTCCACCACTATCTCTCTCTCATGGCTATGCCCTGAGTATAGGTTTATTTATAATCTTAGCTGAAACTTTCTCAATAGACATTCCATCCCTCTCTCATGCCACCAAAGTGGGGGCTGGAGGGAGTATCTCAGAGAAAGAGAGGGCCTTATCAAAAATAAAAAAAAGTCCAGAATTATGCATATCAAGATTAGGGAGCTAGGAAATTTTTTTTTTTTTTTTAGAGATGTGGGTGGATTTTTAGATTAATATATAAAAATCATATTTTGGAGTTAGAGTTACTCTTGATGGTATGTGAGGAGGTCTCGACTCCCGAATCTATATTTTCTTCTTGCTGATTTTATTTTAGTGTTTTTGCTTCTCTTTCTAAAACACGATTGTTTCTCTTTCTAAAACACGATTGTTTTGCCGGTGAATTTTCAACTGCATCAAGATAGGGTGGAAGGGAGAGAGGAACTCCCATGAGACACAAGTCTTAAGCTCAAATTCAATTCCACAGTAACAAACAAAGAAAAGGGACACGAGCAGATGGGATTTATTTTCCTACGAATCGCAAATCCAGATTTTTATTTGATGATAACTTGTTTGATAAATATTTTGCATTCTGAATGGCTTTTTGAGACCAGAATGATGGCTGTGGATTGACAATTTAGAAAAATGAGATAATTACTGTTATTTTCAGGGGTTGGGACAGTTAAACCAAGATAAAAGATAAACGAACTCTACTTCGTATGATTTTCATGATTAATAATAAAATGCCCCAATTTGCCAGATTATCTCAAATGCTCTCTCTCTCACACACATAAATATAGAAGCAAAAGCTAGATACAAACACATGCAGTGAATGCTACATTCTTGAAATCCATCCAAAACATAAACTACAACCAGCAACATACATGGGACTGAACAAAAGATATCGAATGAGGAAAGAATAAAGGGTGAAGATCCCCTCCAATGCAGCATGCACAAAACACTAGGGACTCGGCCCCTGCCCTAGCCAAGTAACTCGGGCGAGTCCGAGTGGCCTCACCCAAGTTATGTACAAGTATAAAAAGGGCTAAATATGGCAAAAAAATTACAAAAAAGAATGACAAAAAGCAACAAAAAGTAAACTCACCATAGTCTAATAAAGATGTAAAAGATATACAATAGATGGAATTTGGGAAAATCTGATTTATAGCTAGAAATAGTTCCGAAAAATCTAAACAAAGTGAAAATAGAAAATAGAGCATACGATAAGTAAAACTCATAAATCATCATCATCATCAAAAACATCAAAATCATATATAAATACATTTTTGTATAATGATTTAGCCACATGAATAAGAGTTGAAACTAAAACCATCACAGTTTAGATATAATCAACGTTGCAAAATAACCACAACTCAAACAAACTTTCTAGTTTCACAAACAAAGCCTCTTCATTACAATGAAGTTGCTTTGAAATTGTAAATAAATTCCACAATTCTGCCCACTGCACAGGCAAGAAACAAACTTTCTAGTTTCACAAACAAAGCCTCTTCACTACAATGAAGTTGCTTTGAATTGTAAATGAATTCCACGTTATAAACAACGCACATGTGGGTAGGTATTCCATGTCTTGCACTAATACAGGGAGGCTATCCTGGATTCGTTCACAAGAAATGCCCTTGTTCAAGCAAAATATATTTTGCTAGGATCATCTTGCATTGTATGATGTAAAAGCTTAACAAAGCAATACATAATTTTTTATTCTTTGGGTACTTGATTAAGGGTTAAGATTTGGCTGTCAAAAGGCACTAATGCGACCTAACATGCATAACGCATAATTATATGCCAAATGTTATCTTTGTATTATCATGTAATCTTCTCATTGACCTTGGCAAATGTAGCAGATCCCTCAACCCCAAATATTTTGTCAAAAATAGGTATGCGCATCTCTTTTCAAGGAGTATGAAGCACAATTTCTGTGTTTACCAGTAAAAGAGTACAAGAAGAAGAACCCTAAAAGTGTTTTGAGTATGCAACTTGAGTCTGCAAAGTTCTAATCCGTTTTTCTCACTGCACAGAAGTTTTAATATGCAAGTTGGATAACTTGAGGACTGACACGCACACACACTACTATTACGTCCACAACCCACTAAAGTTTCGAATTTAATGTTCAGCGAAATATCAATCAATCACAAAGACATGTTAGGACACTTAGATGAACCATTGTTGCAATTAAATGGTTTGCACTATCACATTGATCCCAATTATGGAACCACAGGCTAGTAATATATAAACCAGTATGAAAGTAAAAGTGGACAAAGCTTTCATGACAAAAGAGAATATCACGTCAGGCTTTGAAGCAGTAATAAACAATGTTAGGAACTAAATACCACTTGTTTGAAAATATAAGTATTGTTCATTCAACAAGAACAAGAAACTGGTTGTTTCGATACCCATGCCATACATTTCTGCAAGTCTTCTTACAACACTAATTCCAGGAATTAGTTTATATTAATTAGTGTTAGGAATTAAAAATCAATTCTTTGGGAGTTAAAGATCAATTCTTTGGAAATCTAAGCATTCATGCAGTAAGAACAAGAAACTGGTTGTTTCCATACCTATCCAAATGCACTCCCGGATTGGCACCCAATTTGGGAGAGGAGCTCAATTCATATTGTATCTGGAAGCAAAGAACGAAAAGGAAAAAGAAAAGATTATATATAAACATAACATAAATCAAATCTGAGTTGGTACACTTATTATAAATCAGGAAGCCTGCAACCATGTGACCTTCAAAATGTGAGCTCCTAGTGATAGCCTTCTAAGAGTCTAAAGATAAGAAGGCAGTGAATTTCCATTTCGGTGGAGGTAAAACGGTAAAACGAAACAGAGATGAGTGCTTCTTCGATGGACTGGGGACACAATGCACTTGATCCTGAAATCTGAATTGTTGCCATGAAGAAGCTCTGGAATAAAATACAAAAGCTCCATGAAGAAGCTCCGGAATAAAAGCGAAAAACTAGAAACTTAACTGGATGCATATCAACAACACAGAAAACTACGGAAGGGTACTTGGTGCCAAGCTTGATGGCAAAAGCGCACCTAAGCTCACTGGTGTGCATTTGAAGAGTGAGGAAATGTGCATTTGAAATATCAGATATCAAAATATGATAGTAAGGTCATATCGAAATCATAGGTTATTGTAATCACTTCTCAGCACTTCATTGAGACCCATGAGTGAGGGAGCAGGAGAATATGTGCACAGAGAGATATTTGCATATATGTAAAATTGTACGCACATATGTTAATAATTGGAAGACATACACCAATATGAAGATTAAATTTACTTGATTTGATGTAGTAAAGGGAAAAAGTATAGATTCTAGAATATCATCAAAGAACAAATAGTTAAATCCACATTAGCTGTATTATTTGCAACGCAAACATGACATGGCCCACTCAGTTTACATGACAAAACAGCATTAAGCACACATAACTCTTCCTTTTTTGGCTGAACTTGGTTACAATACTGACCCTCAACCAAGGAGCTATAGGTGCTTGTTAGTAGGCACACGTAACTCTCCATCCAAAAGGAAAAGAAATGACTCAACCCAGAGATATGAAATTTAAGCCACAATATACCATGTGCTAAAGAAAAACAGAGCAACCATCAAGGTATGTTGGCCAGGACTGGCAAAAAGATGATAACAATTTATAAGAGCATATATGCCAATATATGTCTGATTAGGCCAAAAACAAGGCTCCTTTATTTATTGTCAAGGTGACGCGCAACCAAGTTATTCAATTTCATGAACTAAGGAGCAAAAGTAGATATTTTACAGTATCATCAAGCACACGACCAAATCACATCAATGGCACTAAGAATAGCAGAAACACATAGGCCAACCAGGCAAAATGATTCAAAAAACACAATGGTAAACCCAAAATTGTCAATGCTAAAAAAAAGGAAACAAAAATCAACGCAACGATACCAAATTTAAGAATATAGAGATTTCTTGGAACAGATCTTCCATCAAGTATATTGGTTAAGGGTACAATAATAACAAAACACAAGCCAAGTTCCATGGATATCATTAATTTGGCCAAAAAATATGGCTCTTCTTATCTTGACATTTCTTTAATCATACTATCCTTGTGCATCTTTGTGTGCTATACTTTAGCTTCTACATTCCCACTGAGGCCACGGAGTTCGTAGAATCAACGAGTCAGCACTGTTCTGAAATACAGATTTTGGGAATATAAAGGAAAAGAAGAGCAGAAAATAAAAGAAAGAGAAAAAGAAAAAGAAAAGTGTACGATTGGAGATAATACCAAGGCAAAACAAGTAGCCTCCTGAATCTGGATTCAGAGAATGAATCGGAAATAAATGACATGGCTTTTGTCAAATTGCGGAAAGCAAGTTACCCATAGGGCAGGGAATATCAGAATCAAGACAGTAAGAGCTTAGAAGAACCCATTCAGTATCGGAAAATGGGTTTTTTTTTTCGTCACTTCAACAACCCATCACAGCGCAATTGTAAACAAACACACCAGCATGCTCCTTGACCCCAAGAACTTTCCACTCCAATCCCCCATCAACCCCAGACGAGCTCGGAGACCACGAGTTGAGCACGATGCTCTCCCCCTCCGCTCCTCTCTGGCCCCCAACAACAAGCAACTCTTTTCCACAGGCCTTGAAGGCCAATCCCCAACCATTCGTTGAGTCAGCTCGAACAGGCAACCTCCCCAAGACACTCCAACTGTTATTGCTCTTATCATACTTCTTCACAACATTCGTTGAATACTCCACTGCATATAATTGGTTATCCACCACCGCGACAAGAGGGGGAGCATGGGTTGGGCTGTTGGAACCCGGGTACATCCCTTCGATCCTCCTCCATGTCCTAGTCTGGAGATTATACTCCTCCCCGCAAGTTAAGGACTCGGTGTGGCTTGCTAGCCCACCGATCACATAGAACTTACCATCCATGAAAAACCCAGAGCACAATTTTCTAGGTGAGTACATATCAGGAAGAGCCTCCCATCGCCCTGATTCTGAATTGTAGAGCTCGGCCGATTTGAGAAAGGCCCCATTTTTATCAGTCCCACCTGCAACTATAGCTAACTCCCCATAACTGCTTGACCCAAACAAGCATCGAGGAAGGTTCATAGCTGGGCCTCTCGACCAAGTCTGAGAAAGCAAACTATACCTCCAAATAACAAAACCCAACAATTCACGTCCAAAAACGAGCAATTCGGTGCCAACTGCAAGCGATTCCTTGTCTGCATAGTGGAAGCATTCATCACATGGGATTCTTGGGAGTCTCATCCATCGCTGCCTCTTTGGATCAAAGGCTTCCCACCCCCTCAAATCACAAACCAAATAAACCCAGTGCTCAAGAATACCCATTTGTCGACGCAAGCTATAGAGGTAGCCACTGTAAATCAAGGAATTGAACCTTTTGTTTAGGCAGGCCAGGGTTGTATAATCGGATCGCGAGGCAAAGGCAAGGCAGTTGAGGGCTATGTCGTCATGGAGGCCAGGTAGGAGAGAGTCATTTGATGATGATTCATGGCCATCATCATAATCTCTATCACCACAACCACCATGATGCTTCTTCTCAGCTATATCGTTAAAGTTATGATTCCTCTTACTGATACGGCCATGGTCATCTATTAGATATCTATGATGATACAGTGATTTTAGCTCTGGATTTTGAGGATCAATGAGATTGGTGGTTTTCTTGGTTAATTCAAGCATGCAGGTAAACACGTACCAGCTCCTCTGATGAGACGACGGCCTATCCCGCTTGCTCAGAGGTGAGAGGACGCAGCCCTCGTTCTTCACCATAGCCGCTTAATCTGGTTGAAGATCCGGCAACAGATGGCCGGAAAATTTGAGGTTTTCCGGGCGAGAAACAGCCGGAAAAACAAGATATTTCTATCTGGTTTTTTTTTTTTCTTTGGCTATCACAGGGGATTGGATTTCAGGCCGTGAAATCGATGGGGGTAAACCGGATCTTATAACTAACCCCCGATTCGTAGGAAAAACAAAAATAACCGGAAAATCAACCCGATTTTTAACTGGGTTATCGCAACCAAAAGTGAAACCCTGGTTAAACAAGAGACATGATACAGTAAGCACAAATTACCAAGAAGAGGAGGAATCAATCAGCGACCAGACTGCAATCAGAACAAAAAGCAAGACTCTAGTGGTTAAGGCCGCCGGAAATTCGTCAGTGGCCTGTCGGATTACGACAAGATGGCCGGAAATCGAATCGAGGGACTGTAATCCAGGACGGAGAGATAAGTGTCAAGGGAGAGGGAGAGGGGGAGGAGAGAGTGATTAAAGGAGAAGGGGAAGGAGAAGGAGTTAAGAGGGAGAATCTAAGAGATTACCTGCCACACGTGCACACACACACACACTCAAACTTCACTTTAATCTTTGCATTTGTAAAAAATTATGGGAAACCTCCCCTCTCTCATCCGTCCGTGAATGTTGAACCGGCAAGTCAGATCGGAACTGGCCGGTTAGACCTAAAATTGGTTGGTTACTTATTTTAAAAAAAATTAATAATATTATATAAAATTATTAAAATAGGTTTTTTATAATATAATTTTAAATATTTTTTATCATTTTAACAATCGGAAAAGTGTTTTGACCGTAAATACTTAGTTTTACTCTTTGCATTTTTCGAATAATTTAAACAATTCACTTGAAAACAAATCTTGATTTTTTAAAAGAGAAAAGTTTATATAGACTCTACGCTCTAAACAATCAAATTAGAGCCTACCTCAAAAATTTCACTAGAAAAATGTTGTTTTAATGTCCAAATATCCTCAAATTGATCATCTCAACATCAAGATGCATGGAATTGAGAAAAAATGGATTTCAAGTTTTTCAAATAGTGCATCTTATAACGCATTTTTGGACTGTCAATTTTTAAGTTATTCAAGTTTTCTTAGATCTGCTCGATCTACACTATTTTTTAAGCTTTACATTTTATAAGTAAAGATCAAAATATATTTTAAGGCTAGTCAAAGATTTCTAGAATCGAAATCACATTTCTCGACACTATTTGATGGTGGGCTCCAATTTGATTGTTTAGAGCCTCGGTTCTATACAAACCGCACTTTTTTAAAAATCCATTTTTCACTAGTTTTCAACTTTCGTTTGGATGTGTTTTGTTCCATCATGTTTTAAATATATTTTTTATTATTTTTCAATTTTTTATTTCTTTTATATTTTTTATTTTCTTTTAACACTTTTTTTTACTGGATGGGACTTGCCCAATTAGGCTGGTCTAACCATCAGATTTACCAATTACTTGAAACCAACCCTTGGAAGGTTTTAGAGGCCGGATCATTTTTTTCAAACACTAGTCATCAATCGATAAAAATATTTGCACAATCTAATCGTGATTAAAAATTGATAGTGAGATGACAACAAATATTCTAAATTAATATAAATTATTTGATTAATAGTAATTTTTTTGCTGGTTTAGTATTCCAATTAGATCAAACAATTATTACTAGTAAGTTTGTTGCCATTTTACTGCTAGTCTTGATTTGTACTTTTTTTAAAACTTTAAATCTTATAATTAGCAACCCTTGCAAGATTTTCTAGCATTGAAACTACATTATGTGTCCCTCGATATGGATCATTGGAAACGAGTCGTATCACCCATTCATTACATACAAAGATACATTATGAAGAAGCTTATAATATATGAAAAATGTGTACTTTAAGACTTGAAATTATTGTTTTTAAAATCATAAATCTCGAGGTTGGGAAGGTTTTCCAACTTCAAAACTGTCTTTTCTCCATGATTTTTGAAGTTTAAACTTACTCCTGTATTATAAAGTTATAACCTTACATAGACTTTTTGCAATATAATATACTGTAATGAAGAGAGGTATGTGGTAATCTTGATGACGACGTAGAAGCTATAGGCATATAGAAGTTTTGGTCAAGAGTCTCATCATCCAACCAATGGGCTGGATGACTGGAGGGCAATGGATATGACATCACCAACGTCCATCGGTTTGGTGTGGAACCCATTGATATCAAAATCACACGGTAATCCCTTGGACCACCGCCATCATGATTTGGAAAAAGAATTTTGTCTATTTTACTTTTACAGTGTTCTAATTGTTTTTCTAGACCTGGTTATCTAGGCCAAATGGGATTGGTATCTGGTGTGAGGATCTGTTTAAATAAATTAAATACTATTCAAATTTAAAAATTAAAAAAAATAATAAAAACTAAAATGAGTGGAAACCGGGTGATTCGGTTGATCCCGACCGCCTATATCATACCATTTTTTAGTTCTAACCATGAACTGGGCTAATCCCAACTAATTCCCAATCCAAATCGATGATTTTTCAATGCATGTTAAAAAATAAAAACTACCAGTTCAATAATAAATTGAGCTTTTTGGAGCTTCAAATTTATAGATACCAGGGGGGGGGGGGGGAAATAAATTTGAAAAGCGTTTTGGTCCCTATATCGTTCAAAACCAAATGAACACGCAAATGAGCCAACTCACCATATACTTTTCCTTACTAAACTCATATATGTGAGGGTCCGCACGACACCAGCAATTTCACTGGTTACTGTAGTAATAGGGGTGAGACCCTTTAACACGGCGATTGGGGACACCAGATAAAAAAGGAGTTGAGGCACCTACTTTAGGAGGTCCTAAGCTCCATTCACATCATTAATGCTTTATAAAAAAATAAAAAGAAAACGTGGCATCTTCTCAGGGTTAGTAAGCATAATAGAAAGCCCCTTTCACGTTGTTCATATTTGTTTGAGAGCAAAGAGAAAAGCAAAAGGAAGTTTAAGAAAAAGGATAGAATTTATGAATAGGATTATATGTTACAAGAGTATCAAGGATGTCACTGACCATTTTTAGATATGAAATTTCATGATAAATAAATTTTGTTTTTGAGTTTGTTCTTTACAATGACGCATCCTCAAAGTCCAACTTGAAATCTAATGATCAATGACGATTGTGATTTTTATATATTAAAAATAAATAGTTTCATTATATATATATATATATATATTATTTTTTTTTTTATAAAATATTTTGTTTATTTTCTTATATATTGGTAGAAAGAGAGAGGTGAATAATGAGGGGGGTATGGGACTAGGAATTTGTAATGAGAGGTAGGGTAGGATTTCGTACGCACACAGAGACAGGAATGTTATGGGGACTATGAATTTGTAGGAGAAAAAGGGTGGTGGGCCATGTGTTTTGTAGAGAGAGAGAGAGAGAGGAGGGGGACGACCACCTCGAAGGAAGGCTTGGGGAATCAATGGGGCTGCGTGGACAACCGGCAACGAGGTGGACCCACCACCCACCCATTCATGTTTCTTATTCTCTCTCTAATTTTAAATTTTTTAGTTTTATAAGTAGAAAAGGATGGAGTTAGAGAGAGAGGGGAATTTTTTTAGTTTTATAAGTAGCAAAGGAAGTAGTTAGAAAGAGAGAGGGGAATTTTTTCAGTTTTATAAGTAGCAAAGGAAGGAGTTAAAGAGAGAGAGAGGGGTTGTGGTCCGTCCATGTGCATGCATGTGAGGGGCCCTTAATAATTAGTGGGGTGGGTGGGGTCCCCTGAGGCTATCTAATTAACTTTCGAGTCCATTTATGCCTTCTCACTTTTACAAGAGAGAGAGAGAGAGAGAGGGAGGGTGGAAGGTGAAACGTCTCCCTCCATCCTTTCTCCCTCAATACAAAAGACATCATCATCCAAGCCTGCTTCTCTCTCTCTTATGAGATCCACTTTATCTCTCTCTCTCTCCTCAAACATAAAAAAAAGATCCCTCTCTCGCATTACACAACCCACTGTTGTTTCAAAAATCGAACTGGCCAATGGCCCGGTTCCCAGTAATTAGTAAACTGACTTGTTTAAGTCCCTAGTGGCCAAGAAAAGCATTAAAAAGCTAAAACAAAATGCAAAAAAAAATCTGAAAAGAGTGATTAAACAAATCACGTCCAAATGGAATTGACAATTAATTAAATAACTAAATTTTTAAAAATCGATTTGTGCCCAAAAATATTTTTCAAATAAGACGGAAAAATGTAAAAATAAATATTCATTGTCAATATTTGCCAAAATGATATATAAAAAAAAAAACATTAAAAAAAAATCCTTATTTTTTGAGATTTTATATAATTTTTTTAAAATATTCAGCTGGATAACCATAACCAAAATTGGAACTGGCCGATATTACACAAACAACGTACGTTCAAAAGACTGTCTCTGTTCAAATCAAAAGATTCTCTTAAAAGACAGTTGAAAATAGTTTTTCCTATACATACTTTCTCTCACACACACAAATAGCATATGGGTGTGAAATTTATTTGGTTAGGCACAATGTTAAAGACGTGTAGGTGGGAAGGCAGTTACCATGGTTTTCTTCAATGCAAGTCACGCCCCATTCGTGACTCTCTCTCTCTCTCTCTCTCTCTTACTTACGTTAGTAGTTAGTTGGTTAGTTACGTTACGTTACTTACGTTTACGTTACGTTAGTTAGTTCGTTACGTTACGTACTTACGTA